TGGGTTCAGCATACATGCTCGTCTGCCACAGATACGAGGTCTAGCAGTGTGGTGACCACGCAATTCCAAACAAGACCTCGCCCACACAAGGGGCAACCAACTGTGCAACTGCCGCCCCTTCGTAGGCCCCTGGGGAATCCAGCGGGGTTGTCCTGGTCTGATCCAAGCGGGATGGAGGTTGCCAGCTGCGCAATTGTCGCCACGTTCGTGGGCGCCTGGGAGGGACAGCGGAGCTGCCAACTGCGCAATTGTTCGCGATCTCCTCGGAAATCCCGCGGTACATCCGTGCTCAAATCTTTCCCAAGAGGCATGCGACGCGCCACATGTTGCGTTCACAAATCGCGCTCCCTGCCATGACATCATCTGTACTAAGATGGTCCATTGCTGCGGTCACGTGTTGCAATTCAATGCGCCACCGTGCACTTTGTTTCTCTGGAAAACCAAGCCCTGCCGCGATACCATTTATGCGGAAACTGCATACTCACACCATGTGTACTTGACTCGGCAAAACGCAAGGAATGATGATAATGCCACATAGAGCGGCAACCAAGACGATGATGAGTAGAGGCAGGAGGAATACCAAATAACAAAATTGTGGAATAACATAATTCGTAACGGATGGCAAACTCCAACCTCGCTAACGCGTGTCCGAAATCGAGCTGCCTGCCGAATGGGGGCGGTCATCTCTGAGACCAAGCGGACCAGGCGCGCGATGGTGCGCTCTGAGACGTTCGCCTTGCCCTTGAACGACTCATCTTCGTTCTAGGCCAACCTGAATGCTCCCCGCGAACCGCTGTATATTCACGGCCGAACTGCAATCCGCGGGACGATCGTCGCGCACTTGCCGACTTGGGAAGGCCGCCACGACCAAGGCACGCAAGGCAACGCAAGCAAGGCAACCGTTCACGCTGAGCTCGTGCACTTCGCTCAGCAATCCTCCGCCTTCGCCGCAGGCCCACGCCCCTCCCGAAAGCCTGAGCAACGCGTCCGCGCGCCGTGAACATCTGTTTGCGTGCGCGTGCCGGATCCAGCTCCTCCGTGCTGCGAGAGCTGGCCCAGCCCGCGCGCGCGGCCGCGACCCCCAGAGGGCGCGTGTGTTGACATGCTGCGTTTCGTTACTTCCGATCTGCCCTGTGTCCCCACATCCAGGGGCTCCCCGACCACCATCGCGTCAATGTTGAGCTACACTGGCAATGCCTCGCTCTCCTGGGGCTTTGCTGTGTTCTTGCTCGTTAACATTTGTCACGTGTGCGGAGCTATACTGTCAATGCCGCGCTGTCCTGTTGCCTTGCCGTGCTCCTGCTCGCAACGCGCACCGCCAGAGGCGGCGAAAAACTGGAGAGATCCACCCACAAACAGATCGGGTGACGTGGGTCGAGATGCCCCCCCAAGATGGCTCCACATTAACCGAGGCGGTGCCGCTGGGCCCCCCAGACCACGCCAGGCGGCACAGTGGGGCCCTCCGGCAGGCCTCAGGAGGAGGGCTCCGAGGCGGCCCCAGGCTGGCCAAGGGACACACAGAGGGCTCCACGACTGGGATCAGCTCCACGACGCGGAGCAAGGGCTCCCAACTTCGTGCGTCGCGCTGCGCGAAGTGCAAATAACTTCGCGCTCTCGCGCCGCCTCCCAGCGGAGAAGAGGAGGATGGAGGAATCGGAGCCGAGCCGCGAAGCGCGAATCACTTCGCGCCCTTGAGGGCGCCCTTGGCGAAGCTGAGACATGAATCGAAACATCGTTTGAGCTCATATTAGCGAGGTGTGACATTTGCAACGGCAGCGTTCGTCAAGCTGGTATTCGCGCACTTGCGCCATCTCGGCAACCTGCTTGGGACGCTCCCTGCGTTTCTTTGACTCGTGCCCCCTCCCTTTTGTCTCGCTAGCCCTTCTCCACAATATGTCTTGATGACTGCAGCATTTATGCATGGACTGGTGAACGCGAAGCGCCAGTGATGTAGCACACACACACACACCACACACACAGACACACCACACACACACACACACAGACACACAGACACACAGACACACAGACACACAGACACACAGACACACAGACACACACAGAGACACAGAGACACAGAGACACAGAGACACAGAGACACAGAGACACACACAGAGACACAGAGACACAGAGACACAGAGACACAGAGACACAGAGACACAGAGACACAGAGACACAGAGACACAGAGACACAGAGACACAGAGACACAGAGACACAGAGACACAGAGACACAGAGACACAGAGACACAGAGACACAGAGACACAGGCACAGACACAGACACACAGACACAGAGACACAGAGACACAGAGACACAGAGACACAGAGACAAAGAGACACAGAGACACAGAGACACAGAGACACAGAGACATAGAGACACAGAGACACAGAGACACAGAGACACAGCGACACAGAGACACAGAGACACACAGAGACACACAGAGACACACAGAGACACACAGAGACACACAGAGACACACAGAGACACACAGAGACACACAGAGACACACAGAGACACAGAGACACACAGAGACACACAGCGACACACAGCGACACACAGAGACACACAGAGACACACAGAGACACACAGAGACACACAGAGACACAGAGACACAGAGACACAGAGACTCACAGAGACACAGAGACACAGACAGACACAGACAGACACAGACAGACACAGACAGACACAGACAGACACAGACAGACAACACAGACAGACACAGACAGACACAGAGACACACACAGAGACACACACAGAAACACACACACAGAGACACACACACAGACACGCACAGAGACACACAGAGAGACACACACACACACAGGCACACACACAGACACACACAGAGACACACACAGAGACACACACAGAGACACACACAGAGACACACACAGAGACACACACAGAGAGACACACACAGAGAGACACACACACACAGAGACACACAGAGAGACACACAGAGAGACACACACACACAGAGAGACACACACACACAGAGACACACACACACAGAGACACACACAGAGACACACACACAGAGACACACACACAGAGACACACACACAGAGACACACACAGAGACACACACAGAGACACACACAGAGACACACACACAGAGACACACACACAGAGACACACACACAGAGACACACACACAGAGACACACAGAGACACACAGAGACACACACACACACAGCGACGCGTTTTTTTCTCCGACTGTCTGGGGCAACTGTCTTGTACGGACGCACCGGTGTAACGAAGGGCGACAAGATCTATGCATATCTTTAGGTCGGGCATGCCCCCCCCTACAGTCTGACTTTGAAAGAACGAGGAACGTAGCTAAACATACCAACGCATAGTCCAACAATGGCAGGAAGGTCGCCCCCAGACCATTTTCGGACTAGTTCTGAAGTCTCCTCCTTTAGATGGGGAGTGCCCGACTTAAGCACATTTGCCGCCACTGGACACGCCCATCCCTGGCCCAAGAACTGAGCAGGAACCGACCGTCCTGGCACTCCTATAGTCCTACCACGATATGTTCTTAGAACCCCAAACTGTTCAAATAACCAAAACACTGTTCTTAGAACATTTGCCCGATGTGTTAACACAAGGCAGTCTCAACCAGACGTGTTCCAAGGACATCTCGTGGAAGCCACAAAGAGGCTCTCAGGACACTGTTTGGCAGGGCTATATCTGGCCATCGCTCGGACGTCCATTTCCTGTGTTTTTTTCGGTTCCGTGCGTGGTTTTTTCGCCAAATGACCAAGGATGCTCCTCGATGGTCCCCGCCGGAGGAAGACATGCACACGTCCGAGCGATGCCAAGCATATAGGCGAGCCAGGACGCTCTTCGCCACTGCTTGGATCAGGGGGACGTAAGACCTGGGTACAGGGGACTCGGAAATCCCCGACGAGGTCGTCAAAAAAATGGCGAGGCCGAGCCTGCATTTTGACGAGGCCTCCCGCTGCAGTCATCCCACGAAACTCCTCCTCGTCAAAATCCGAGGCGCGGTCGTCAAAACACGATGGCGAACCCGAGTCCTGGCAAACCCGGGTCTTACGCTCCCCCGATTGGAGGAGCAGCGCGCACGCCCCCCGGCCTTGGCCGTGGAGGCCCGCAGACCGATCCCGGGCCCGAGAGCTCGACCCGGCCAGGGGCGGCGTGGCCTCGCGCACACGCCGCGGGCTCGGGCCGCGCCGACCTCGGCGCGCTGCATCCCGACGCCGCGGGGGCCGCTCAGCCTCGACTCGGGTCGGGCATGCCCTCCTACCGGCGGACTGTGGACGAACGATAAGACCTCGCCGTCGCTCGGACGTCCATCTCCCGTGCATTTCTCGGTCTCGTGCGCGTTTTCTTTTCTGCTCGTTGGTCGAGGATGGTCCTCGATGGTTCTCGCCGAGAAGAAAATGCACACGTCCAAGCGATGCCAGGTAACGAACAGTCAACACGTATTCGAAATAGTAGAACGCGGTCGAACAATCGATGCCCGACTACTCTTTCTACTGTGCCTCCTGCAGAGGGACAAGCCCGACTCAACCTTGAACGATCGGCCGTTTCCCAAACGTCAAGTCGTTCAACATCGACCGGTTCTGGGTCGCTGGCGGCGGTCGATGCCGAAGGCCCGCGCTGGGGTCGCCGCCGGTCGACACGACGCGAACCTACCGCAGGTCTCGTCGCCCGACAACGGGGACGGACTCGACAGCAAGCCAGAGACTCCCGAGAGTCCAGATGTGTCGGGCGCTGTCTGCCTGCAGCGGCGGTGCATGCCTCCCCAGCAATCGTTAAAGAAGAAAAAACGCCGCGAGCATAAACTGTTGGCGCTCCGCGCGGATTTCTTGGATCTGCGCTGGGCCCCCTCCCTGGAGCGCGGAGCGCGACAGAGGCGGCGCCGGAGGCGCCGCCTGGGGGGGCCCCGGCGCGGAGCCAAGAAATCCGCGCGGAGCGCCGCGCAGATTCATGTTTCAAGCGTTTTCTCTTCTTCGAGCAGCGGCGCACGCCGCCGCGGCAATCGCGCCGACCACGCTGCCGGACCTCCACCCCTCACTTGAGCTTCAGCACGGGCATCCTGACCGGCGGAATTCCACGGACCACGCCACCGATCCTTGCCCAGGCCGACCCCGGGGGCTCGGGATGGGTGTACGTGGCTCTCTGGCCAAGCAAGGGGGGGAGCGCAGGCACCGCTCCCGGGCCCAGCAGAGGCGCGGCCAGGATGGGTGAGGTGGTTGCCTCGGGGGCTGCTGGAGGTGCCCTGGCCCAGGCTGCCCCCAGCTTTTCGCTCCATTTTGGAGCCCCTGGGGCCCCGTGGGCCTCGTGAGGGGTGCTCTGCAGGCCGTTTTTGGGCCCCCTGGAAATTCTGGGGGCGCCCTGGGCCGGGGGCACTTCTAGCAACGCCCGATTGACGCCCCCCCGAATCCTGGAACACTCCTCGAACTTGTGCGGCTGAAGGTCGGAGGGATCGTACGTGGAGCTCTTGAGCAGCCTGGACAGCACGAGGTCGAAGGACGGGTAGCTGTACGCTTCCCGCAACTGCTCGGCCTCGGGGCCTGTGCCCGACGGCTCGTAGATGCGCCGGATCCTCTCCCGGTCGGCCGCGTCACTCCGCCCAGACGCCAGCGATATGTGGTTCACGTGCTTGGGCCTGATGTCCGGGCGCCGCCACAGGAACGCTGCGGGGATCTACTCAGACCCACCGCCCGGGGAACCGACCGATGTGCCGAGACCCCGGGGGAGGCTGGGGAGACGGACGTTCTTTTCCGACTACAGTCAACCCGTATGATCGGGATGCACGATAAGGATGCGAGGGCCTTGGAAGGCCATGCTGACCCTTTGCGGGCGGGGCGCGGCCAACGAAAACGGCAAAGGATGGACGCCGGGGGCGCGGTCATATTGATTGCTGCGCGCCGGCCAACCATCCCTGTCAGAAAACAAGACAAGACTACAATTCGGCTCCACATCCGCCGACCCTGTGTCCGCGTGTGCGTTCCCATCGTTACTTCGTCCTCGTCTCCGTCGTCTCCGGTCCCTGAGCCCACCCTTTCCCTGGGCCAATCGTCTCCTGTCCCTGCGCTCCCCCTTTCCCTGGGCCCGTCTCCCTTCCTCCCTTTTCCCCCTCGTTCCTGGGCCCGTCGCCGCCCCCCTCCCGCTGTTCCAGGGTTTCCCCCTCAAGAGCAACGTTGTCATTGAGTCGAAGGAAGCCCCTTCCCTTTGATCCCTTCCCTGCCGAGGGGGGGGGGCCCGCGTCAAATGCGACTCCCCGCCCGGGGGTTCCCGGGCGGAGCCCGCACAAAGCCTCAGGCGGGCCAAGAACCGAGGCATTCGACCACGACCTCTCCTCCCTCCCCCCCCCTCCCTCCGTCCTCATCTCTCCTCTTCCCCCGCCCCCGTCCAGAACCGAACCGGCCTCCTGGACGCTCGGCCACGGGGCACCCCGGGACCCAGAGTTCCGAGGTCCCCGGGACCCTCCAGGACCCAGCCCCGAGGACCTCCTCCCAGGACCTTGCTCGGACGTCCATTCATTCCCCCCCCCCCCCCCCCCCCCCCCCCCCCCCCCCCCCCCCCCCCCCCCCCCCCCCCCCCCCCCCCTTCCCACCCCCCCCCCCCCCCCCCCCCCCCCCCCCCCCCCCCCCCCCCCCCCCCCCCGGTTTCGCGCGTCCCCGGGAACCGCGCCGACGGCGACGACGACGACGACGACGACGACGACGACGACGACGACGGCTCCCTCGAGCGCCCCCAAGGAGTCACGCGACGTCAGCCACGAGTGCGATGATCATGATGGTCCCCTCGAGCGCTCCCAGACAGCCACGACAGCGACAACGTCTGTCCTCCAAGCGCTCTCCCAATGGGCCACGCGACGACGGCCGCGACGACAGCGACGACATGGTTCCCTCGGGCGCTCCCGGGGAGCCACGACGACGACCGCGACGGTTCTCTCGTCTACTCATGATAACAAACCGATTCAGACACTTAAACAGTGACGCGATCCTACTGCCGAGGCACCGCGGAAACTCTGCGACACCCGAGCACCTCTGGCCGGACCAAAAGTCGATACACATTTTGCGTCTACTCGCGATTAGAATCCCACTCATGCACCTGAACGCACGTTTCCCGGCGCTTCGACGCGAGCGAATCGCGCTCGCGACGACGGTAGCACAATCCTACTGCTGAGGCGCCGCGGAAAGGCCGCGACACCCGAGCACCTCTGGCCGGACCAAACATCGATAAACTTTTTGCGTCTACTCGCGTTTTTAAACCAGCTCATGCACCTGAACGTACGTTTCCCGGCGTTTCGACACGAGCGAATCGCGCTCGCGACGACGGTAGCACAATCCTACTGCTGAGGCATCGCGGAAACGCCGCGACGCCCAAGCACCTCTGGCCGGACCAAAAATCGATAAAATTGTTGCGCCTACTCGCGGTTTCAATCCAACTCGTGCACCTGAACGCGCGTTTCCCGGCGTTTCGACTCGAGCGGATCGCGCTCGCGACGACGGTGGCGCAATCCTACTGCCGAGGCGCCGCGGAAACTCTGCGTCGCCCGAGCACCTCTGGCCGGGCCAAGAATCGATAAAACAAAATTTGCGTCCACTCGCGATTTCAGTGCTATCCGTGCGCCTGAACGTGCGTTCCCTGGCAATTCGACACGGGCGAATCGCGCTCGCGACGACGGTAGCACAATCCTACTGCTGAGGCACCACGCGTGCGCCGCGACGCCCGAGCGCCTCTGGCCGAAGCAAAAATCGGTAACATTTTATCGTCTGCTCGTGAATTCAAGCCGATTCAAACACCGAAACGTACGTTTCACGGCGTTTAGTCCCGGAGGAATCGCGCTCGCTATGCCCGTAGCGACGACCGCCGCGACGCCCGAGAACGTTTTTTCTGATCAAAACTCGGTACTAGAAAACATCGCCCACTCGCGATCGCAGACGGTCAGAAACCAGCGAAGCTGCATCGTCCCCTCGCGCTGAAATCCCTCGTTCTCCTCGTTCCCCCCCGCCGTCCTCCTCGCTCTTTCACGTGCGCGAACAACGAGCCCGCCGCCGCCGCAACCGCCCTCTACCGAACCGAACGCGCGCTCACTTGCCCTTCCCCTTCCCCATCTCCTCGCGCTCGTTCTCGCACCAGCAGGACTCCACGCGGTTCGCGATGACGTCCCCGCGCTTGTTGCGCATCAGCTGGTACACGACGCGCTCGCCGATGGCGAAGCGCGTCGGCCAGCGGCGCCGGAAGCGCACGAGCCGCTGCCCAGCGTCCTCGCTCATCGTCGTTGTCGTCGTCGTCGTTGCCGTCGTCGTCGTCGTCGTCGTCGTCGTCTTCGTCGTCGTCGTTCAGGGTCCTCGTTCTGGATGTAGCCAGACCCGCCCATGTACTCCGCGCCCGCGTCCTCGTCAACAAAAATGCCGAGGACGGGGGCGGGCATCTCCGCCGAGAAAGTGACGACCTTGCCGTGGTGCACGACGGGCGCCTCGTGCAACGCGGTCGCCGTCGTCGTCGCCGTCGTCGTCGTCGTCGTCGTCGTCGTCGTAGTCGTCGTCGTCGCCAGCCTCGGCGTGCGTCGGCTCCGGCGCCGCCACGGCGCCGCCCTTGCCGCCCGCCTCGCTCTTCCCGGCGCTGCCCCCGCCGCCCTTGTCTTTGCCAAATGATCAAGGATGCTCCTCGATGGTCCCCGCCGAAGGAAAAATGCACACGTCCGAACGATGCCAAGGGACCCAGCACCAGGAACCAGCCCCCCAAAAGGTCCAGGACTCCCAGGCCCCAGGCCCAGGCCCCAGGACCCCAGGACCACTCCTGCACCATGCGGCCCTGCTCGCCTCGTCCTGCTCCTATTCATTTCCCCCTTCTGATGTGACGCTCAGGGGGGATGACGAGGTTGTTTCGCTCTCCGACGGGGGCGACACCTGACCTTTTCCTCCTCCTCCTCCTCCTCCTCCTCCTCCTCCTCCTTGGCGAGCCGACAATCTGTTAGACAATTCTGTTTGACAGTTCCGCGTCGTGTGAACGTACACGAGGCGAGCCGACAATCCGTTAGACAATTCTGACTGAGGGAGGCACCGTGCTGCTACCGCTGCTGCCGCTGTATTGTAACACTTCAGGCCTTTGATGTGTGTGTGTGTGTGTGTGTGCACGCACTGTGCTCAGGCGGAAGAGCTTGGGCTGCGCAGCCGTGTGCACCTGAAATTTCAGAATCACTTTAGGGTGTGGACGGCGGACTAGTCACGTTGTTGCCTTTGTAATGGGAAGGGCCCGCTCCCTCCTTCGCCTCTCTCCTCGCCTTTCGTCGCTCGGCCTGGCCCTTCGGTCGCCTCGGCCTGCTTGGTTCTTCGGTCGGCCCCCTTCGTGGTGTGTCCGTCCCTCCGTCTTGGCACGTCTTCTCACCGCCCCAGCTGATTAGAAGCACAGTGCTCAGAGATTGGAGTTCCCATTGATTCATTCGTCCAACAGAGGTGTGCAATGCAATGCAATGCTCCTCCTCCTCCTCTTCCTCTTCCTCTTCCTCCTCCTCCTCCTCCTCCTCCTCCTCCTCCTGATCATCATCATCCTCGGTCCCCCTCCAACTGTTCCCCTTCCTCCTCCTCCTCCTCCTCCTCCTCCTCCTCCTCCTCTCCTCCTTCCCCCTCTACTCCTCCTCCTCCATCCTCCTCTCCTCCCTTTCCTCATATCTCCTCCCCTCCTCCTACCCTCTCTTGCCACAGGAGGTCCTCCGCCTCCTGCTCCTCAACGTCCTTGTCCTGCTCGTCGTCTCCGTCTGCAGGGTCGGCGGCACCGGCCGTAAGGCCCTCGCAATCTGGAGCATGCGCAGGGCCCTCTTTGCTTGGAGCTTTCTGATCTGTTTCGCGATTCCTCGAGTCTTCACAATCTGTCCATCGGTGCCGTGTTTTGCACTCGCTCCCTGGAAGAGCCACCCACACAGAATGCTCGGCACCTCGCTTCAGGGGGATTCGAGATCCTTAACTCCCTGGGGCCAGGGCCCCAGGCACCTGGGGTCCCTATTCGCTCCCCGTAGCTGGCGCACGTGGCGCGGCTGGAGCACGTGGCACAGTGGGCGCACCTGGAGCATACGCGCACCTGGCACGCTTGGGCCTCCAGGTTGCCTGCCTGGTGCACCTGGAACCCGTGGTGCGCATGGCATGTGTAGCGTTCCTATGCGATCTGCTGACGCTACTGATCAGTTGGGAGGGCGGGTGGGAGTGAGCTAGACGGCCTGCTATCTCGGACGGCAGCTTGACCCCTCCTCCCACCCATTTCTCTTGGGTGTGGAGGGGGGGTGCGCGACTGATTGAACTATTTACTCTCGCCGGCCTCGGCGAGAAGGCACACATCCTTGATAGTCTTGGTCAATATTTCTGGCCTCCTGGGGCGGGATGGAAGTGATTATCCTCCCTTGTTTGATCGATCTCGTCCAGGATGGCCCCAAGATGGCTCCCACAAGTGCCTCAAGAGGGCCCCACGAAGCGCCTGGGAGTCCCCAAGAGGTCCCCAAGAGGTTCCCAAAACCCCCTCGCTCACTATTCTACTGCATGCTCCTACACATGTCTCATCGCAACTCACCTGGGCATCGTTTCGAGATGGGCTGGTGGGGTTACGCGAAGCGTTTAGAATGCGTGAACAACCCGCGAACCAACATTCTGTCCTAAGCGTAAC